TACACACACACACACACACACACACACACACACACACACACACACACACGGCTTGTGGATAAGGGAAGAGGCAAGAATTCAAAATCTGGGTTCAGTTCCCAGTTTTGCCCCAAATTCTCCATGCAAACTTGAGCAAATTACTTCAGCTCTTTGAGCTTCAGTTTCCCCATCTGTAAAATGGAAAGTCGCCTCCCACCATTGGCCTATTTAGCCTTTGAGCTTTTTGTGGCAAGGAGACTCTGTCACTGTGGGCATGTGTGACAGGGTCGGTAGCTCACCGCTGTGGCGCCTCCTCCTGGCTGCTTCGGGGAATTAGTTTTGCGCCAGTAGAGCGCCCTCTTTGGGTGGCGTTCCGCCTGTCGTCTCGCCTTTGTGGGGTGCACGGTCTTGCGTTGCTCCTGACGTCGGCATCCTCTTCCGGAGCACTGCCCTCCAACAGTGTCCCTTTGTCCAATCACACCCCCCTTCGGGGGGGGGTGTGTGTGTTACACAACAGCCCCACACCCTTGAGTCCGATCCTCACAGTCCAGGACCTGGTGTGGTTCTGACCGGCCACTCCCCGCGGCTGTGCGTGGGGCAGTACAGCAAACAAAGGAAGAAAAAGGGGGAGGGGGGGAAGACTCAGGCCCGCCCACTACTCTGAGTCCCGGTCCAGAGGCCCTCGGGTGACAGTCTCACTGTCTTCTTTCTCCTTCCTCCTCTGACTATCCCTCTGGACCGCTTCCCCAACAGCCCTTTGCTACGCTAGGCCTCCTTCTCCCAGGCCTGCCGCCTAGCAGACTATGGAGTAGGGCCTTCTCCCACTCTCTCAGGCTGGCCTGCACTGCGCTGTCCGTGGTGCTGGCCTCCCAGCTCTGGAGACAGACCTTCCCCTCTGAAGGCCTGGGACAGACTGACTGCTCCTGCTCTGGGCAGCCTTTTATATGGCTAAGCCGGGCCCTGATTGGCTGGCTACAATCTGCCTTCTGATTGGCTCCCAGTAAGCCCTTCCCTGATTGGCTATGCGTCTGCGCAGGCACCTAGGCCTGCTGCAGCCCACCCTCTCTGGGTGTGGGGCAATCGCCCCACCACAGCATGTCTACACTGCAGTTAGACACCGGCGGCTGGCACGTGCCCACTGACTTGGGCTGACACAGCTCAGGCTGTGGGGTTGTTTAACTGTGGTGTCGATGTTCCGGCTTGGGCTGCAGCCCAAGGTCTGGCACCCTCCCATCTCGCAGGTCCTACAGCCTGGCTCCAGCTTGAGCCCAGACATCAACACTGTAATTAAACAGCCCCTTTGCCTGAGCCTTGTGAGCCTGAGTCACCTGGCATGGGCCAGCTGTGGGTTTTTCATGGCAGGGTAGAGATACCCTTGGTGTCTGTTCAGCACCAGTCACAATGGGGACCCTGATCTTGGTCAGTGTCTGTGCAGACTCCTGCACAACAGGAGGCCTGATCTCAGTCAGAGGCTCTGCAACTCCTGGCATTACAGGATCTCTGATTTTGTTTGGGGTCCCTGTAGCATCTGGCAAAATGTGGGGGCAGGATCTCTGTCAGGGTCAGTGCAGTGCCAGGCCCAACGGGGACACAGATCTTAGTCCAGGTCTCTGAAATGCCCAGCACAATGGAGGCAGAGCTCAGTTGGGGTCTCCACAGCACCGGTCACAACAGTGGGGTCTGACCTCTTTTGAGGTCTCTGCAGTGCCTGGCAGAACAGGACCCAGATCTCAGTTGAGGTCTCTGCAGCTCCAGGAACAACAAGGTCCCTGATTTTGTTTGCTGTCTCTGCAGCACCTGGCACAATGGGAGCCTGATTTCACTTGGTTTCTTTGCAGGCACTGGCACAACAGGGGCCCGGAGCTCAGTCAGGGTCACTGTAGTACCCGGCACAACAAGGTCCCTGCTCTCTGTAGGCGTCTGTGTAGTTCCTGGCAGAATGAGTGCCCCAAACTCGGTCAAGGGTCGTGCAGTGCCCAGCACACTGTGGGTCGTCATCTCAGACAAAGCCTGAGCCACGCTCAGTCCGATAAGAGCCCTGATCTCAGTCAGACACCTGGAGCGAAAAGCAGGAAGACTTTCAAGAATTTGATATCAGTATTTCAAAACGGAGGAGAAAATGGGCCCATTTCAGAAATCACTCAGGGAAACAATTTCCCACCTAAACAAGGACAAATCACTGCAGGTAAAAATGGGGGGAAACACCCCAAACCTGAGATTTGAACTGGCCATTGGCAAAGTGGACAGAAAATGGGGCACAATTGGGGGAGGGGAACAGAGACCTTCCCAGGGATTGGAGGGAAAAGGGGGGAGGTGTCACCCTGGATGTTGCTCGTTGCTCTCTAGAGAGAAAGGGGGAAGGGCTGGAGAGGATGGGGGGTCCCCACGGGAGGGGACAGCAGTAAATCCGAGGGGATCTCAGCCCCCCCCCCACTTTCTCTCCCTGCTTTGCGGAGGGTCATCTGCTCTTCTCCTCCACTGGCCATGTCCGGGCTACACAGACATTTTCCATCCGCCCCTTTCCCCAGGTCTCCCCCCAGCCCGGTCTCACTGCCCCCGGCAGCTCCCGTCTAGGCCCACGCAGGGACCCCAGTGGGGGCTGGTTCTCCCCCGTGGTGCCCCAGGGCAGAGCCTGGCCGGGCCGGGGGCGTTGG